AATTGTTCTGTGGTCTAGTGGTCAAAGTTCCTGCCCACAGATCCAGAGGTTCCGGGTTCGATTCCCGACGTTACCAGATTTTGTGAGAAGTAGAGGGTCTGGAACGGGGTCCGCTCAGCCTCGTGAGGATATCTGAGGATCTATTTCAAGGAAATAGCGGCTCCGGTCTAGAAAACCGAGATTAACGGCCGTGAGGATCCGTTGCGCTGACCATGCGACACCCTCTGTACGTTAAAGTTGGCACTAACTTCGCCCACGAGCGGCGGTCGCTCGGTCGGTATAGTTAGCTTGCGGACTACAGGCCACGGAGTTTGTTTTTTATTGTTTTGTTGAGTACAAACTTTAAGAAGACACGTGAGATTTAGGAGTAAGAGGACTTTCAGACTGTGTTGAGGGCAGCTGGTGAGACTGAAAACTTGCAAGGAAGTATCCAAGATTGGCTTCAGCTGGATGAAGGGAGCTCTGGATTTCAGCTTCTGACAGAGGAAGAAATCTACATTAGAACAATTTAAATAACTTTGTGTTGGTTAAGAAACCATAAGAAAATTCCACTATTTGTGGACTCCGAACGTTCATAACCGTGCTAACGACATCCAATCACTGAACTACACTCACGTAGACAAGCCTAAAATATCTTGACCGACCAGAACAGATAATGTTTGCTTTTAATCCAGAGTTCTGCTGGAGACGTGTAGAGTCGAATATTGTGATCGGTTGTTCAGAACGTTACGCAAATAACAGAAGCACTTCGCCTTGTGAAAATGGAAGTGGGGTTTGATGCCGAAACATTTCAAATTCATTCTCCTTCCCAATCCGTTCAATCTGCGGCAAAAATGTATGTTTAACGCCACTATTTCAACTACAGAGGTTTTCATCGAATTCAAGGATTATGTCAGCTTCATCCACCTGAGTACAGGTCTTCCTCAGCTGCAACATTTCAAATACAATGCAATGACTAAGAATGGGGGGTACGGAGGATCGTATACGCAGACACATTCACACGGAGGGGGGGGATGAAAGTTGCTCCAGCCAGGAGACCTGGCCTTCGTTTGGTTTCGAACTCGTTACCTTCAGAATAATTCCAAGTATTACTAGGTCCATCTGTTGCCGGGATCAAGAATATTGACGCTACACCTCTATTTTCCCATACGCCTTGATGCTGTGCTGGTTAATTAATTAATTGGAGTGACAACTTTCTTTTTATTATTACGTAAAAAACACTAACATCCGTGGCTTCAGTCCGCAAGCGAACTATAATGACCGAACAACCGCCGCTTGACGGTGAAGTTAGTGCCGACTTCAGCTGAGAGAGGGTGTCGCGTGGTTAGCGCAACGAATCCCCACGGCCATTAATCTCGGTTTTCTAGACCAGAGCCGCTACTTCCTTGAAATAGCTCCTCAGTTATAAAATGGGCTGAGTGGACGCCGTTCCAGAACCACTACTTCTCAAAAAAAATCTGGTAGCGCCGGGAGTCGAACCCGGGACCTCCGGATCTGTAGCTAGGAACTCTGACCATTAGACCAAGAGGCGGTCTCTTGTAATTAACAGGCGGTGCTCACGTAATGGCATTAGTTCATAAGCTGCTTACTAATTCACTGTGCGTCGTGCGTCTCTTGACGTGACTTCAGACGGGATGGGTGAGCATGGCACTGCGAAGAAATTGAATAAAATGCAAATAAAAAAAAACGTTAAATTGCCACAGGCCTTAAGCAACCAAGCACTATGCCACAGAGACTTATGGCATGTATAGATCCATGTATTCTTGACCTTGGCACTAGTTGGAGGTGAGTGGTCATCTTCACGCTCCGGCAGATTTACACAGGTACCCTTTGAATAGGAGACTGGGTGGGTTCCAGGGCCAGTCTGGACGGCGTGGAGAAAGAGAAAAATCCTACCCCTACCGGGACTCGAAGTACAATCCATCGGCAATCAAACCCACAACCAGTCACTATACCGACTGAGCTATCCCGGCTCCTCATGGAGAAAGAACAAAAGGTGAAGTAATCTCTCGTCTTTTCTCCACGCTTACTTTTTACCCTCTTCGAAGACAGGAAAATTAATGTTCAGTTTCTTTTTTGCTGTTCCTCTGAGTAGAAGGAGCGAGGGGCCGATAAAGCCTGTTTGTATGTCCGTTTTGTGCATCGTCGTAATAAATCAAACATTCGCGCAAACCCCGCCCCCCGCCGCCACCACTTCACGCGCTCCACGTAACACATAATGACGACTAATGAAGTTGGCGTCGTGAAGTGTTGCAGACAGCGAACCGATTGCATTACACTAAACCGCTCAGACATGACCTTCTTATTGAACACAAGCATTTGGAAACTGAGTTCATGATAACGTCAAGATTTGAAGTAGAATGAAGTTACGGTACTGAATGTTATCCCCCCCCCCTTCTTTTTGCTGCCGCCCACAGTGGAGGGCCAGGTATGCCCGAATCTGACGAATATAGCGTCATGTGACCTTAATTTTAAAATTAATTTTAAGATATTTTATTGCTGTCTCATATATTAATCCTTAAATGATCAATTTTAATTTAAAAATTGCCAAACCGCTATTTTATTTTGCCAGAACGCCCTTGCGCGCGCGTGTGCAAGTATACAGAGTGTTTCACGACTTTAGGGCATAACTGCAGGAGGTGATTTCCTAGGTCTTTGTGATCAAAAGTTCATATAAACATGTGTCCGATTTTGGACGGTTACGGAGATATGACCGTTTTTTCATTCCCGTACACGCCCTCGTGTGAACCGCGTCTGTCATCTGGCAGGTCGCTATTTTTAGCCGGCTACAGAGGGAGCGTTCTCGTTATGTCGACACTTGAGATGTACCTAAGGCGTGGTGGGTTGGTATGTCCGGCGAAGTTCACAACCGAGCGGCAGCCTGTGTTGCGGCCGACGGTGGCATTTTCGAAAGTCAGCTTTAAGCACCAATCAATTCAAATTAAAGGTAATTTCAGGAAGTTAACTCTACATTCATACTTTAAATGTATCATGTATTATGCTGGTTTATTATTTTGTTCCGTTTATTGTAAGTAATCGTTACCTTCTATTCTGAGTTTAAAACGGTCATAACTCCGTAACAGTCCAAAATCGGACACATGTTTATATGAACTTCTTTGATCACAAAGACCTAGGAAATCACCTCCTGCAGTTATGCCCTAAAGTCGTGAAACACCCTGTATACAAAAGAGGGAGAGTAACAGGCTTTAGTTTTCTTCTGACAGAACCCTAATCGGGCCTGCACCAGTCACTCAAATCAATGCAATCTCTCTTATACAATTTAACGATTGTCCACAGATAGATATAGCGCATAAAGGAATTTGAAAGTGCGTTTCTTCACCAGATATTTGGTGTTTACTTGTATCAGCTTTTACTAATACAATATAGTACTAATACAGTACAATCAAAAAGCAAAACAACAAAAAACTCCATGGCTTTAGTCCGCAAGCGAACTATACCGACCGAGCGACCGCCGTTTGTAGGCGAAGTTAGTGCCAATTTTAGCTGATAGAGGGTGTCGCGTGGTCAGTGCAATGGATCCCATGGCCATTAATCTCGGGTTTCTAGACCGGAGCTGCTATTTCCTTCAAAGAGCTCCTCAAGTATCCTCACGAGGCTGAGTGGACCCCGTTCCAAACAGACTACTTTTCAGAAAATGTGGTAGCGCATGGAATCGAACTCGGATCTCTGGATCTGTAGCAAGGAAATCTGATCACTAGACCACAGAGGGGGTCTAACAATACAATCTCTCGCTGAATTGTTAATCTGATTTCCACAAAGAAAGATTTTTCAATTTTGTCTTTATATTTTATTAAAGAAGGTCTCTGTTCCTTTATTTTACTGTTTATTTTATTTATGTTGTGTTCCAATCTCTTCCATAATTCTCTATTTCTGAGATCATCCTCTGGTTTCTTGCGTCGGACAACACGCTGCATGCGTCATAACGAAATCTACAAAATCAGGAAAGAAAATAACCATTTTATTTGGATACGAATGTGGCCTGGGTGCGCAGTAGATCTAGCAGCGATTTCCCTCAGCTCAGAACACTGAACGCTATATTCTGAATTGTGTGGTATTGCGTGCTTCTCCGGGCGTGTTCATGTGTGTGTGCAAGGAGCTGGGCTTTACAGCGAAATCCTTTACGCGATTGGGCAATAGGTACAACATTGGAGCAGTAAGTCGTTGCAAATTGAGTTCATAAAACCCGAGTTCGCTTTGTGTTGAACGGAGATAGAGGCTGCGAGCCTGGAAAGAGGAAACAAAAAAGTACTGACTACAGATGTCTGCGCCTAGCTAAGAAATTGCAAACGATATTAATTCTGAAGACAAATGTTGACATGCTCCGAAATTTTACGAAATATGCGTTGCTATATATAGCAAACGGGTGTGAAAGAAATATTAATCCAAAGGAAAGCACAAAGCATTCATAGAGTAGCCTGTTTAGGGTGTGGAAGTAATCGAGAGAAATACAGCCATTAACACTTCATTGCCAGTGTCGACACTTAACCTAAATGCGGAGGATCCTGAAATTCGAAACTTCTAATCAGTCCTCGCCAGTTTTTATGCAATCTTACGTCTTAGCTTATTTTGGAAAATGGACATTGAATAATATATTTTCCGAAGTGTTTCTCAGAATGAATCATATAAATTAGCCAAACTTGCAAACTAAGTTCTCAGTCTTCAACTAATGCATTACTTTATAATTCTAAAATTCTACGCGCCCTGCATTGCGTTATATCGACTGGTTCGAGTCAGGTATTAGAGGTTATCGAACGTCTTGTTTCGTCGCAGGAATGCAAGACGTACTGCAAGTTGGTTGGACGTGTTGCTAGGTGATACTGTCGCTGGGTTGTCAGTTGGTTGGACGTGTTGCTAGGTGATACTGTTGCCGCGTTGTCAGTTACAAGAAGCACAAAAGTTTGAAACAAGACACAATATTCGCCATAGTAAAGGTATAAATACATCTTGGTCTTAAATTTCACATTATTAAATGCACTCACCGTGGTGATGAGGTGCCCTGGTAGTTCTGCAACCCACGATGCAGCTGAAGATGTTCGAAAATGGCTCCAAGTTCCGACAACTGTGCCTGTCTCTCTTGCACAGCTTTGAGAACGCACTGGAAAAAAAATGGAGTGAATATGCATTTAGAATTAAATTGCACACTGCACGCGTTCCTATCTACACTAGGAAGTTAAAAACAGTCAGTGAAAAACGCTGAATAAATTTTTGAATGAAGCTGACATATACTCGCATGGTCTTCGCAATCGACAGTCATTGAAGCTAGTTTTATCATCCCTTTTTATCTTACTTACTTACTCATGGAGCTGAGCCCTTCTGGAGGAGCCGCCAATTCTGCAGGTACTCAAGAATTTCCCAGCATTTTATGGAACCCGAAGGTTCATCACCGTGTTCACAAGAGCTCTCCACTGGTCCCTATCCTGAGCCAGCTCTATCCAATCCATACCATCCTATTCAATCTCTCTAAGATCCATTCTAATATTGTCCATCCACCTACGCCTTGGTCTTCCCTCTGGTCTCTTTCTTTCTGGCTTTCCCACCAGTACCCTATACGCATTCCTCGTCTCCCCCATTCGTGCTTCATGACCTGCCCACCTCATCCTCCTTGATGTACGAAAAAACCTGTATCTAATTCATGATTTTCATTCATACCTTTTTATAAACAATAAAAAAATCCTTATGCCACAGGAAATGGAATAGATTTGATGGTCTAAAATACTAGGGTTATCTTAATATACACCTGGTTCGGGCCTTCTACCTCCTTCCCAATCCATAATTCTGCAATGAAAGCATCAATAAATAAACAAAGATATCTCTCGCCTACAAGACAAATATAGTAGTATAAGTTCCTGGCGAAGATGAGATAATGCACTTTTCTGAGTCTGCGCACTGCCTTCCATCCCTCCTCATAATTCTTTATGTTTACCTCAATTTCAGATGTGAGATTACGAAATGTCTTTGTTCCAAGTCATATTTAAGCCGCAGCCCATAATATTGTGGCATATTTGCTCAAAGAAGAAACTGTGAAGCCAGCAGAGACAGCCTTTGCTAGAGAACGGCTCTGCAAAGAGCTCGTTGTTAGGCAACAACTTCGCAAGCACGCAACAATACCAGAGCAATCGCTATGAAACATACCAATGCAACAATAAACTGTTGGAAGCGGTGTTTTCTGTATGGTCCATGTGCCTGTGAATCAGTGGCAGACACCTACCTCTTAAAATTGTATCGCCTACAAAGCAAGGTTCTCCTAATCATTGGCAATATTCCAAGGCGCACACCAGTCCGCGACATGCACACAGCTTTCAACTTTCCATATATATACGATTATATAACAAAATTGTGCAGACGACAAGCAGAAGTCATACAAAATCATGAGAATGAACATGTTCGCAGTATAGGACACGGTGAAACCAGACATAGAAAATATAAGAGGCTTAAACTTTGCGATGGTCAAGCTTACGACCGTTCAACTGACTAAGCTTCCGTTGTAGCGTAAGATACGTAAGGTAGGCATGACCTGCTCTGTAAAGTCAGGACTGACAGAGGGGTTGTACACAGTGCAAAAGGAAGAATTTCCAGTAACTTGCTGTATGTGCAATACGTATACTTGACGGAAGGCCAAGCATATTCATAAGAGACAAACCCAACTTATCGTCAGAGAGGATGTTACATCAGGACTATTACCACAAGAGCTCAGTTGAAAAAGAAACTCTGGTCGTGAGTCTCAAGGGCCTTGACGCCAGGATTGGCGGTAAACCGCCAGTCGTAAAGTAACTCTGACTCTGACTGCAGAATCAGTCAGACGAGAGAGTGCAGACAGACAGACAGACAGTTGAGACTTTCATGTAGCTGAGGCCGGGGACAGTTCGGGAACCCAGAGGAAGGAGAAGGTCCGCGTTTGAAAGCCACTATCAAGCAACGGCTGGTGGAGACTGTAACAAAGTGAGAACACTGGTCTGTGTCTAACAGTGATTAGTAAAGTGCAGTCGCGAGTTGTGTGTTAAAGTGTCCAACAAGTTCAGTTATCAATCCAACCCCGTCTGTCGCCACTGCAGCAAGTGACAAAACAGTCAAATCCATTTCTCCCCCCAAAAAAACTGCTGTTTACGAACTTAGTACACTCGAGTCCTCAGGTAATGACATTGCCTCACAGCAAAATTACAGAAAACTGAAGTCAGGAGCACAGCATTTAAGTTTATGCACTTCCGAAACTTTCATGAGTTGTTTCAGTCATAACTTTTACTTCAGCACGATGTCAGTTTTAATGTCGCTTCCAATAAAATTATATTATTCAAGAAATCTGATACTGCTGATAAGATATGTATGAATCATAGACCCCTGGGCCGCACTGAAGTGGGGGTGGGGGTGGGGGTGTCGCTTTCACAAAAGAAATGCAATCTGCTAGAGTAGACTCAACACTGGCACATTTTCCAAAACTCCTTCTCGTTTTACTATTTTTACAATAAATTTGAGGCAAAGCTTCGGTTCATTGGTCCGTCTCCTTCTTGTTCTGATTTTCCGAATGCATTCTTGAAAACAAAAATAAAACAGAGATGAATGAAGAAAAAAGGGAGGAAAAAAGAGGCGACGCGAACATTTACACAAACATATTTCCCACTTTGTTTTTCAATTGGAAGAAACAGCGCGGAGACAAACGGGCAAACAGTCAACTTGTAATGAAGAACAGGCTGTAGGCTTCAAGCGCCGTGCATCCTTCATAGCCAAACTGACGAACGAAATTCTCTTTAAAACGTGCATACAGGACGCAACGAAGTGTAGACAAGACACCCTCTCAACCCCGTTTCAACCCTTAAGAAAAATAAAGAAACAGATAAAAAATTGGCAGAAAAATACAAGAACAATATACAAAATGGAAACCATTCTAACGCTCGTTTTGTTTCTAAAATTATATGTTTATCTCCTCCCAACTGGACCTATTCCAGCAATGAGATGTTAAAACTACATGAATGAAGACATCAAATATTGCACTGCTGAAGCTGGAGAGCCTTGCCACAGAAATTGTTAGTCATATTTCTGTTCCTTCTTTATATTTCTAGGAGCGTTAAACACCAGCAGCAATAAATACAGAGCAAACAATCTTTAGCTTAAGACAAAATTCGATGCCAAGTCGTTTCAACTCAATCCGAACTTTGTCCCTAAGAGTTTAAGCCCACACACAACACACATCCAAACTACTTGTTTCAGCAAGTGCTTCTTCCGGACTACAGAAGTGACATGACCTTCCTTTTAGTTAGTTTACGACGTTATTAGCGTCTAGACGACATAGCGTCGAGTGCTAGGACGCCTGGCGAAAGGATCTGGAAGGACGCGATCATGACTTAACCGAGACAGTATCCTGGAATTTGCCTAGAGTCACACTAAAGAAAACAAGCTGAACAGCAGTTAGAACAGTCGATGTCTCCCCCAAGATTGGAACCCAGAAATTCTCGAATGTGGTTCTAGAGCAGTGGTTCTTAAACTTTTTCATACTGAGGCCCGGTAAATTCTGTTTTTTATAAGACGAGGGCCCGGTACTGGGCCGCGGTCCCACGGTTGAGAAACACTGTTCTAGATGTGCAGCGTTGCCGCTTGTCAACCCACCCCGTAATGTCGGACAGTGCGATTCCCAAACTGAGGTGTGGACACAGAAATAAATATGGATCCTGCGATAAGATAAACGTGTATTCTCACACACTAAATTCTAATTTCGTTTGGGAAAGAGTTATGAAAACGTTCACAGTTATTTGTCTCATTTCCATACAGCGGCATGGGCGTGAATTTACCATTCAACTCCACCCTATCCGAGGTCATGAATGGTGGAGTTATACCACCACTCCTCCATACGTCTTCATTGCATACTGCTTAATTAATTTAAACATGAAGACAACTTCACCCTTACCTTACCTCAAAATTCACACGGCGAAGCGAATACAGCTGCACAAATCTCCCAGCATTACCGCACGCACGCACGCAAGCATACACACACACATTAGTTCGATAGTTCTGACGTCATCATCTTGTTTCGGATCCTGACCCACCGTCACACAAGTTCGATTCGTTATTTGCAGTCACAACGGCAACTATGCACATCTAGTTGTTCACCTGAGTTTCGGAGGATCGTTCTGTCTCCATCTTCAGGGTCATAGAATACTAAATATTCTCCTTGCCTCAGCTGGTACTCTTTGGTCTCCTCTCCATACCAGAATCCGAGCCAGATTTTCCTCGAGCGAGTCCTTGAAGATGGAAGGAGTATGTTCCTGCGAAAGCAGGTGAAATTCTACAACATTATACGGCGTCACAGCCCATAAGATTTTACTTTTGATACTCAGAATTCTGTGTTTTTGGACTTCGTCCATTGTCCGATATTAAAAAAAAATAGTTTTTCTAGAATACCGAACGATGGGCAAAGTCCAAAAAAAAACACTAACTCTTACCAGTATATCATTGTCAGAACTCTTTAGGATCAATTACCACTTTTCATTGTTTTGTTCTTATCAGTGCTTCCAACTGGCTGAAGATATAAATTGAGTCTATTCAATTTTAACACGTCTGTACATCCACCTATACAGCAACACAACCTCAAGTAATGCCATCTAAATCCACTCAAGTGTCACTTTGAAATACTCGCTATCGTCGAGCGTGCCTTGTTTGCTTTCCCTGCAGCTGAAGGCAAATTTCTCCTTAAAATCATACACAAAACTACAGCCAAAACAAAAATTTATTGCTTACATTTTGATTGATATTGTCACGGGGTTTGGAATGGTGAATAGATGCACTGAACACTTACAGTTCGTAACTACAAATAACTATGTATAACACAGTCGTTTAGAGCACATAGTATGTTACTAGATGTTCCCTGGTGACGGCCAAAACAATGGTTATTCCTCTGCCTCTGGCTTCCCTTCAAAATTCCCGTACAGAACTGACTAAGCTCTCAAAGTCAAAGTCAAGTCACATTGCGACCGACGGTCAGTCAGTAAGTTTTGTCGTCGAGTCCCATCTGGGACTCATGACCAGATATTTATTACTGTTTGACAGTTACGGTCTTGTTTTTGTTGAGCGCCCTCTCTGACGAGAAGACGAGTCTGTTTTTTGTAC